AGCTGCCAAAACCCTGATCCCAAACCTCAGGAAGTAATCTGTGTACCAGTCTTACAAATATCGAAGTTCCACATGCATTTTTTGAGAGATCTTTGTTGGCATTTGCCTTTATTAATGTTGAGTTGTCCTCCATCAAGAGTCAGTGAAACCAGACAGCATGCCAGCCACACTTCACCAAAAAAAGCACAAGTCTCCAGGACAAGAGAGAAGGAAAGCACCCAAAACTAACACTGACCACAACCCTAAGCTACCTAACTAACTATCATGAGGGGACATGATAGCAGTTTTCAAGTATCTAAAAGGGTGTTACAAGGAAGAGGGAGAAAAACTGCTCTCCTTGGCCTCTGAGAAAACCTCCCTTGCCACAAATCCCCACTGACATGGCCCGATGGAGAAACAGAAAGATGCTCCCCACATCTCCTTCACACACCAGAGCCTATGGGCGCCCAGGCTAATAGATTTTGTGGGCTCCAGCCCTGTGGTGAGGCAGAAGGAGGGCTGGAATGCCAGCGCAGGCTCCCCAAAGATGTGAGGGAGCCCTGAGCATCCAGGGCCAGATCCAGGCAAGCTAGGGGCTGCATTTGGCCAGCCCCGGGGCCTATGGGTTCCCCAACCCTCATCTAGACGATGCTTAGTCCTACTACATGGATGGTGGACTGAACTTGCTGACCTCTCAAGGTCCCTTCCAGTTTTAGTATTCCATATTTCTATGACAGAAAAAAGGGGACAAAAAGAAAGGTTTTGTATGCTCGAGGCAGACAGGGCAGCATTCAGTCTCAAGTCGAGGCATTAGTGAAAGATTTGAAGGTAGTTTGCAATGCATTCCTATATAGCCTTGGTGTTTGCCACAGAATTTCACAAGGGACTGAATGGGGACTGCTACCTATAAATATTCAACCAAGTGCTCAACATCCTTAACACCCATATCTCTTAAGAGGTGGGTAACTGACAATTTGTATCAACTACACGATTAGTAGATAAGTGAAGGCACTCTGTCCCAGCTCACGAAAGTCCAGGAGCTACCCCCACAGCAACTCTGCAAACAGCGCAGCTCCTACTACATTTAAAACGCAGAGCCGCAGCAGTCCCAGACTGGTGCGAGCCAGGTCTAACAGCCCCTGTCTGTGGCCAGCCTGCGCCCACCACATGCAGATAGAGGCAGCAGCAGGAGGCACACAGCACCACGGGGAGAGTGCTGGAAGGGAAATAGCTTTTCAAGCCAGCTCCCCTCAGCACTGGTTCATATCCTCTCCCCTGCCCGCCTGCCGCTTGCTGCATCTGATACAGAGGTAGCAAACGAGGCAGGAGGGAAGTAGTCAAATCAACTACTTGCTTACATCCCCAATATGCATATCTGAAGTGGAGCATCCATAAAGGCTCCACTACTTTAAATAAATAAATAAATAAATAAATAGATAAATAAAACCACCCACACACTTCTCCCCCCCACCATCTGGGAGCAGTGGATGACAGATACTAGAAAGCTACGTCTACACTGCAAGGTTTTTGTGCAAAACCATCTCTTTTTGCACAAAAACCCATGGAGCGTCCACACCTTAAATGCGCTTTTGTGCAAGGAAATCAAGAGTAGAACAGCAGAACAGAGGGCTTTTTCTGCTGTAGGTAAACCTCCTTTTACAAGATATAACTCCCTTTTGCACAATAGTTCTTGCGCAAAAAGGCAAGTGTGGACGATCCATAGGAAAAAGCACAGGTGCTTTTCTTTCTTGCACAAGAGTGTCCATGAAGTGTGGACACTCTTGTGCAAAAGCACATTCCTTTTGCGATGCGCTTTGAGATGTGGACATGCTCTTGAGCAAAAGGCTTCTTGTGCAAGAAGCATGTAGTGTAGACACAGCCGAAGAGATCAGTCCCAAGTAGGTGATACTTGAGGGGAGGAGGAAGAGAGTCATCATTTAAGTCCCGAGTGAGCACAAAATACATCACAAGTTCCTGTGCGCAGTATCTTGGGAACCTCTTTCTCACAACCACCTCCGATGTGGACCACTAACCCCACCCCAGACACTTGGAGGAGCATTGTACTATCAGACAATTCAAATACACATTTTTGAGCCCTTGAAAAAGCACCGTTTACAAAGTAACCTAAGCCTTTTTGAGAAATGTGCTCTGCCCCAATAGAGTTACAATGTTGCAAGTGGGCATATTTACATCTAGTCCTATATGGTAGCAACAGGCTAAAAATACTGGGAAAGGATCTTGCTTACTACATATACAGTTGTTGTTTTAGGAATTTATGCTCTATGTCTATGGGCTTAGCTACACTGCCATTTTACTGCAGTGTAACTTTCTCATTTGTGGGTATGAAAAAGGCCACACACATACACATAAGTGCAGCAACTTACAGTACTTTAAAGCACTAGTGTAAGCAGACTCCCAGCACTGTTAGGTACTCCTAGCAAACATCTAGCTGAAAGAGATCCATTATTTACTGACATTAAATACCAACATGCCCCAGAAGAATTAATATCGCCAATAGTGCCAAGAGAAGCACCCAAGGCCTGATTCATTACTCACTCTATTATCAACTGAAAATAACTCTAGACTGGGGTGGGGAACATTTAGGTCAGCAGCTACTAACCTTCAGAAAAATCAGTTGGGAGCTGCACACAAATAAGAAAAAGCTCTTCACTGATGTGTCTGCCCACTGACAAGGGGAAAGACACTCCCCACTATTCCGCTTGCACATAAGACCCCGGGGGGTTCCCCAACCCAGATTGTGTGTGCTCCAGCCCTGCAGCAAGGGGCTGGAGTGCCAGCATGAACTACTGTACCCAGTACTGGCAGTGGGTCCCTTTTGCACAATAGTTCTTGCGCAAAAAGGCAAGTGTGGACGATCCATAGGAAAAAGCACAGGTGCTTTTCTTTCTTGCACAAGAGTGTCCATGAAGTGTGGACACTCTTGTGCAAAAGCACATTCCTTTTGCGATGCGCTTTGAGATGTGGACATGCTCTTGAGCAAAAGGCTTCTTGTGCAAGAAGCATGTAGTGTAGACACAGCCGAAGAGATCAGTCCCAAGTAGGTGATACTTGAGGGGAGGAGGAAGAGAGTCATCATTTAAGTCCCGAGTGAGCACAAAATACATCACAAGTTCCTGTGCGCAGTATCTTGGGAACCTCTTTCTCACAACCACCTCCGATGTGGACCACTAACCCCACCCCAGACACTTGGAGGAGCATTGTACTATCAGACAATTCAAATACACATTTTTGAGCCCTTGAAAAAGCACCGTTTACAAAGTAACCTAAGCCTTTTTGAGAAATGTGCTCTGCCCCAATAGAGTTACAATGTTGCAAGTGGGCATATTTACATCTAGTCCTATATGGTAGCAACAGGCTAAAAATACTGGGAAAGGATCTTGCTTACTACATATACAGTTGTTGTTTTAGGAATTTATGCTCTATGTCTATGGGCTTAGCTACACTGCCATTTTACTGCAGTGTAACTTTCTCATTTGTGGGTATGAAAAAGGCCACACACATACACATAAGTGCAGCAACTTACAGTACTTTAAAGCACTAGTGTAAGCAGACTCCCAGCACTGTTAGGTACTCCTAGCAAACATCTAGCTGAAAGAGATCCATTATTTACTGACATTAAATACCAACATGCCCCAGAAGAATTAATATCGCCAATAGTGCCAAGAGAAGCACCCAAGGCCTGATTCATTACTCACTCTATTATCAACTGAAAATAACTCTAGACTGGGGTGGGGAACATTTAGGTCAGCAGCTACTAACCTTCAGAAAAATCAGTTGGGAGCTGCACACAAATAAGAAAAAGCTCTTCACTGATGTGTCTGCCCACTGACAAGGGGAAAGACACTCCCCACTATTCCGCTTGCACATAAGACCCCGGGGGGTTCCCCAACCCAGATTGTGTGTGCTCCAGCCCTGCAGCAAGGGGCTGGAGTGCCAGCATGAACTACTGTACCCAGTACTGGCAGTGGGGTGGGGAAAATCCAGGCAAGCTGGGGGTTGCATGCAGTCCCTAGGCCTGATATTCCCCATCCTTGCTGTAGATGCGTGCGCGCGCACGCGCACCAATCCCAAACATGACGAGGTTTAACATTTACTTCTCAGAGGAAATGGATATTGACAGGTTAGGGCAGGTGTGCTGTATCCACCACTATTTTGGCTCTTTGTAACGGGTTGGCCACCCTGATCCAAACCCTCTGCACTCCTCCTTCCCCAGGTCACAACTCCTTCCCAGACTCTGTACTCCCCCCTTACACTCCACCCAGGCCAGACCCCTCTACCCTCTTCTGGTCCCTGCACCCAAAGCCTCTGAGCCATATCACAGCTCTCTTCTTCATACCAATTCTCAGACTTCACAGCCTCACCTGCAACCAAGTCTCTTACCCCAAACTCCCTTCTGCACCCAACCTTCTTCCCACATCCTTTCACTCCCTCCATAGAAAAGCATGGCCCTTGACCACAGACCATCAAAAATTACCCAGCCCAGGATTAGGGTCAATTAAAATGCTCAAACTTGCTGCATTTTAAAAGCTTTGAAACATACAAGCAGCATTCACCCATTCAGGCAAACATTACGCACCACATTTACTTATGAAAATTGAGTGATCAGAAGGCATAGGCCTGAAAAAAGTATAAGCTAATTAAACTCATTCAGTTTACAACATTAATAGAATTTTTGTTCGAGAACTCGGTCCTGTGGAAGAGCAACAGATACTGGAAGTATCGTCCTTCTACTTTAGTGGATACTATTAGTTCATATGCTGCTTCTACATAATGTCTTTCACTGCTAATATGTAGTCAGTTCATTAGTGATAAAAGACTTTACCCAACTTGTGTACAGAATGCACTGACATGTGCCAAGGAACAGGCAATATTGATAGCGTGCTAAATGTTTAACTTGCTCTCTCAGTTTAATATTTTTTCAAAATGTTTTAGTATCTAGGATGTTTCTTTGTACTGTAGTTTATGGAGTTAAAAGTAGTCTGCAATGCCTCAGGTCAGTGAGGTTTTCAATGGCCTTACCTCTAGACAGTCATTAAAGAGAAAGAGCGTGACCTGTTCTCCTCTGTCACAGAGGTCATCACCAAGTGCCACTGTTTCCAATCGCTGAACTAAGCTTCGGTGAGATGACAGGAGATTGGCCTAAATGGTAGAAATGAGCCGCTCTTTAGACATTTAATTAAAGAGTTGGACAAGCACTCAACTCAATACTGAAAATACAGAGTTTTATAATGAGTGACCTTTTAGCCTTTAAAATTGTTGAATGAACATTCTAACAATATTTATACAGAGGTAATCATTGGGGTAAGTATGATTTTGCTATGAGGAATAAAGATAGTTGGTTAGTCATTCTACAAGTTGACAGCTAGAGGTAAGTAACTTACAGGACATCCATCAACTTCATAGACAACATCAAAGATCAGTCTTTGTGCTTCTGTTTTTCTTTTGTCTTCATTAATGTGTCTGAGGAACGCATTTTGGTTTATTAATTTAAAAAAAACACAAAACAGATCACACTAAATTTAAAAGCACAAATGTGAAGTTGGACATTCAGTGTAAACAGTAAGTGACAGTTCAAAGTAAGAAGACACATACAAGTAACCGCTTATCCATATTAGATGCATTAAATATAGATCTGGAACAATGAGTTTACACATTACCAGAAATTAGAAAACTGCTTGACAACTATGAACAAGACATAAAAAAGCTGATTTTCAAATGCATCAAGTACATGGCATTTTTTCTATCCTTTGAGTTAAATTCCTCTGTCTCATCAAGCGAGGAGGGTTGCATGTGTGAATGAACTGTTGCTAGATGGATTTTCACAAAATAGTTTTTTGTATTGGACAGATACAGTATTAGTGTAATGCTGAATACCTTTCTTCACGAAGGTACAGCCTACAACACTCTTGTAATCTAAAACTTCAAGATGAGAGAATAATTTTTCTTCTATTACTACACAGTGACACACATAACACCCACTCACCCAAGGCCAGAGACTGACCCTCCACCAGGGGTGTGGGATCTGAGACATTGTGAAGAGCCATTGGCTAAGATTGCATTAACAAGGGCTAAAAGCCCAGGTTAGTCCAAGGAGGATTTCACCAGACAAGCAAAGCAAAAAGATAAGCTGTGAAGCTATGAAACTTTTGGGCTACCTGTACACTATGAGTTCTCTCCACAAAAAATGCTAATGAGGATCTCATTTGCATATTTTCTGCCGATCCGTTTTTCGCAAAAACAAGCAGTATAGATATTTTCTTTTTGCGCCAAACCCCTTTTTCCACAGGATCAGTATACCTCCTTTTTGGGGGCATAAGGATTTTGCGGAAAAAGATTTTTTGCGCAAAAATAAAATATCCACAGGTCTTGTTTTTGAGCAAAAACCCAGTGCAAAAACGGACCAGCAGAAAATATGCAGATGAGATTGAGACTCCCAAATGAGTCCCTCATTAGCATTTTTTTTGTGAGAAAACTCGTAGTACAGGCAGTCCCCGAGTTACGCGGATCCGACTTATGTCGGATCCGCAGTTACGAACGGGGCACTTCCTCTCCCTGGTCTCCAGCAGACCAGGGAGAGGAAGCAAAGCGGCGGAACGCGTGGCCAGCTGACAGCCCAGACGCGTCTGGGCTGTCAGCTGGCC